CACGATCCGACTCTGGAAATTATTATGCATAATATGGACTCAGGACAAAGTGCGTTCATCTATGTCTTCCTGCTAATATGACCGATTTGAAAAAATAAGGTCGAACAATTAGAATAGATCAAAGGAAGACTGAGACCAAAATAGAGGCCAAAACATCTTGGTCTTCGTAGCTAGGATAAATACACTTAATATATATAAACTATGTAATGTATTTTCTTACGTATTTGCTTCCAATAAAGCTAACGATATAAAAATATATTTAAGCTTATAAGCTAGCAAAGTAGTATAATGTAGATAAAAGAAGTAAGTCCTAAAAGATGCCGTTAGCTGATTTTAAAAACGTTTTATTTGCTGGGAGCCATACTCTAATTAATATAAGTTTAAAGATTAAAATTTAATAAGAACGTTGTTTGGAAACCAATATTGCCTGCATTTAAATGTATATATAAAAGTGTTTATTTGGTTGGATACAGCCTATGGCCTGGAGTAAGGCCAGTTCAATTTAAATACTGAGAACTCTACTTTGCATGAAGCCTACTTCAAGTGAAAGATAATAGAAATTAATTATTTAGACAAATTTTAAGTATGCAAGTCCGAGATTATACAGCCAGAAAAGTATTAAGAATAATATTTCCTCGACCGAGTTTTTGAATGGATTTATACGTAGTGCCATTAAGATATGATAAAAAGAGATGGAATAGGAAAAATGGGTAATATATAACGATTGAATGTACTTCCTTAACTCACTATGATAGAGGAATAAGAGCCTTCCCGAATTTTGGGATATTTCTATTCTTTATACTAAGCAGTTGGTTGGTTCGAGACGGACCTAGCAGATCGAGGGACGAAATAAAAGTATTTCATATGCAGGCAAATAATTTAATAGTTTAGTGGAAGTTGTCAACGATAATCTTAAATAAAATACTGATCAAGATACAAAATTGTTAGATATGTTTGTAGAGGAAGTCGCATGAGGGTTGTAGTGAATATAATTTTACTTTTAAGCAATAAAATCGGTGATTAAAATAATTGGTATAAATGCTTCTAAATGATCCAATCGCAGTAAAGTGAGATAAAAAATTTAAAAGAATTTACAAAGAGTCTAGCCTGTTAAAAAATTGAGTAATTGTAAGTCAAATAAATAAGTATGCGTACAACTATAGCCCTTAAAAATAAAACGAATACTTCCAAAAG